TTTGAGTAAATTGCACAAAACCATCACTTTGAAGGCTAGGTTTGCAGAAAACACTACGCTACCCTTTTGTTGCAAAATGCACCACATCTTCTATAATCATTTTGCAAAAACCACTTATCGGCGGTTTTGTCTCGGTTAAGCATGTTTATGACAGATGGGCCTACTTGTTAGGCAGACGTGGCATCTCTAAACACCTCGGAGGTAACGGCGATGGACGGTAACAGTGTGATCATGTGTGGAGCCATGTGAGGTCCACCTGTCATTGAAAGAAAGAAAAAAAGAAAGGCCTTTTATTTTTGCTTCCTTATCCTCACCGTACTGAAAAAGAGCTGAAGCCGTAGCCGTTCCTCGGGAGGTGCATCTTCTTCGGTGCCGGCAAGCTCCGCATGCCGCCGGTGATGTCGCTCGAGTGCATCAGGAGGCAGAGCGCGGCATCCTCCTGCTCCTCCTCGAACGCGCTCAGCATCGGCTGCGGTGGCACGGGGACCGGCGTTGCCACGCACATCGGAGTGCGCCTCCGCCTGGGTGGCGAGGCCATCATAGCCACCGGCGGCCGCCTCCATCCCGTCGTGGGCTCCGGCAGTGCCTCACTGAGCGAGCGGCCGCACAAGAATACACCAGGGCTGCCTGGGGAAGGATCTGAGACGGCAGCGCGGCCATTAGGGATCTGGGGGGACAGCTAAAGGAGTAGAGGAGCGGGGGTGGGGCTCGACCTCCGGCCGGCCACGGCGATGGCGGCCCTGCCGCGGCCGGGGGCGGGACGGGCTCCGCGTGGCAACAGCTACGGCGGCCTCTACCCCAGCCGACGGCGGACGGGCGGCGGGCCTCTGCCCCGGCCGGGTCGGGTGTGAAGATAAGGCAAGCGAAAAAAAAGCAATGTGTTTTTTTTTCTTTTTTCAATGATAGGTGGACCCCACATGGCCCACACATGATCACACCGTTACCATCCGTCACCATTACCTACGAGGTGTCAAGCAATGCCACGTCAGCCTGACTGGTGGGCCCATCTGTCATAAACATGCTTAAGCTAGACAAAACCGCCAATCAGTGATTTTTGCAAAATGATTACAAAAGACGTGGTGCTTTTTGCAGCAAAAGTGTAGCGTAGTGTTTTCTGCAAACCTAGCCTTCAAAGTGATGGTTTTGCGCAATTTACTCGGTACGTTTGGATGACATGATAGTGGTTTTTTGCATATTGGACAACACCATTCTCTAATAGGAAACAAAACTTCTGGTTTCTAGATTGTTTTTCTCCCCATCCTCTAATAGGAGCATGGTGTCATCTACATATTGCATACTGACAGTCCCATGTTCCTACTAATTGGAGGTCACACCTTTGATAGCTCCATTTTCATGAGCTTGTTGAATTATATATGACAATGGTAAGCAGAAGGGGGTGCTAATGGGTCGTCTTACCTCACTCCTTTAGAGCATCTACAGCCGAGGGCCTCCAGCCTGTCTCAAACACCCGGACGGGCAGACCGGTCAGTGATGAGTCACAAAAAACTGACCCACCAGGGCGCCTCAAACCTTCCTCAAACGTCTAGGTTGTCCAGCGCCCCTCATGTCCAGCCCAAATATGAGGGGATATGGGGCGCACCCAGGCGCGTCCACCATGTCAGCTCGCCCAACCCAACCCCACAAATATTCCCTGTGATGAACCCTAGACCACAGTTCGCTCAGTCCACTCCACTCTCTCTATCCTCTTCTATTCCCAATCTGTCTTGTCCTCTCCGCTTCTGATCCATGGCGGTGGATCGCAGTGGTTCCGACTCCGGCGACGACGAGAGCGACGTCGATGCAGTCCTCTCTGCATCGCTTTGCGCCGCTCCCATCTAGATCAGGGCGGTAACAGCGAAGGCAGGCGCGTCGTCCATCTTCGCCCGTCGTCACGGTGTGTGCGATGTTGCCCCCCCCCCCCGCTCGTCCGGGGCGCAAGACCGCTGGGAGCGCCACCTGCTCCACCCCACTCCAAGTATGTAGCCCCCTCGCAACCACATTCATTGTACCTCCGGAAGGCGTCCAGGGGCACCGTTGGGTGCTTGTGCCCTCATCGGCGTAGGGCTGGTCGAGGACGCCTGAGTCGGAGGCGTGGGCCGCACGACGCGAGGGAGGCCATGGCGGCAGGCGATGCGTCGGTGAGGCGCCAGGCACTCGCGTGCGCGTAGGTTGATCCCCAGGACACACTCATTCTGTCTGTCCTCCGGCGCTCCCTGACAATGACGGAGTCGGATGCGCGGCGGCTCCGACGGAAGAACGTCAAAGCGCTCCGGCTCGCTATCGATCTGTCGGAGGGCGAGGCGTCGGCGAAGGTGGTGACAAAGGCGAAGGTGAGAAGGCACACCCAGGAGCAGGAGCGCTTGCTCCGGAGGCTTGCTGGGGGCACATGGAGCTATCAGGCGACAACAACCTTCCAGCAGCGGAATCCTACACCGATAGCCAAAGCAGCACCGCCAACCGCAAGGGGAAGGGGGGCGGCGAGGAAATGGTGATTTCCTCTGGCCTTCCCCGTTTAATTAAGTTATTTTATCACATGTTTAGGGTACTGTCTGATTGAAACTACACCTTTTGGTTGTCTGATGATCGTTAATGCTAGAATTATGCCCAATTTAACTAGATTTGGTGCTAGTTCGTTGATATGTATGTTTATTTTCATACGTGCATGTGTTGCATGGATATGAGGGGCTGGTTTTGAGGTACACATGTGCGGCGCATCAAAATAAGGAGTGCTTGGTCAGTGCCCACAGGCCAGATTTTGTGTCTTCGGCTGTAGATGCTCTTATGTGTAGTGAAATATGATCCCATAGCATCATTTACCTTAACACACACTCTTCTCGACTATTATTCTGGTGATCATTTCAACCACCTAATCTAGAACCCCCTTGAGTTTTACAATTTTATACAGAAATGTCCAATTAATATTATCACGCATGCTCCTATTTTTTTATCCATATCATGCAAAACCTAATGCAATGTCAGCACCCCTTCCATAAAATGTGTGCACTTTTCGAAATGTTGTTTGGAGTGGTGAATAATGTCCTCTACACACTCACACATCCTATTATAGTAGAGATCTCATTATAGTATTATCAGTCTCGTTAGTCAATAATTTGAGGCTAGCATTGAGTAAACAAATTAGCCTAAATTATTGTATTATATGTCAGCTCAGAGACTCTTTAGGACTAAAGTGATGGTACTATGATTAAGCCTTTTTGCATTCTATTATAGAAATCATGAAAGAAATGCTTTAGAGTAAATTTATTGATAAAATTCAATGAGAAAATGCAAGTAGAGCAACTTGACGCAAATTACTGAGAGCTCCCACACGCGATTAGGGTCCCCCTGCCTCCTGTCCGGCGCCGCCGCCGATCTGCCCTGCCTCTGTAGCCTTCGGGTCATGGAGGCGCGGTGGGTCTCGGTCATCGTCGGCGGGAGGGTTCCATTTTCTGGTGTTAGAGTCAAGGTTTGTAGGGGCGGTGCTCAGATGGTGGTGACGGCGCCTCGTTCAATAAAGTCTCCCCGGCTTCAGTCCCATCTCGGCGGCGACGTCGAGAAGCTTGTGGAAGTAGTGTAGTTCTTGAGGATTTCTTTTGGCTGTGGGGATCTCCAGATTGTCAAGGAGCTTCATCGACGGTTATTCCTTCTTCTTCGTCTCCGGGACAGATGTGGTCCTCTAGACCCATTCGGCGACTTCCCGTCTGCAACCAACGACGTCGCGACGGCTCAGGCAGGAGCAACAGCGACCGCGCGCCATCGACACGGACCGGAGGTTGAAGACGAAGGGCATCTTAAAGATTTTGTTGTAATTTTCGTTTTTTGTTGAGGTGCTTTGTACTGTTCAATGTTTCTTTTAATGCCAGGGTCCTTTTCACAAAAAAATATCGTTGAGAAAACAATCTTGATCATGAGCTTTATTGATTATGATGAACAGCGAACACAAGTTCTTTTTAACTATCATCTAGAGAATCCTCAGCCAGGAACATCTCATTAATATAATCTGAGGATCAGCGACATGATCAAAATGGAAATTGGCATAAATAGATGCACCCTGAGACTAACCAAACAAATCCATGTAAAAATTAGTAATATGAGTCATCAAACTTTCCTACCCCTCGATGGCATTATTTCCATCTTTCAAGGACAATATTGGGGCTGTTTGGTTTCTAGCCACACTTTGCCACACTTTGCCACACCTAACCTTAGGCAAATTTGACCAAGTTAGGTAGGTGTTTGGTTCTAGCCACACTTGAGGCAAGAAATTTTTTATGAGCAGTGAACCCCACATGTCATAGACACAAAAAGTGTGACACGATTCCCTTAGGCAAGCCAAAGTGTGGCTAACAATTTGAACAACTCAAGTAAGTCAAGTGTGGCAAGTGTGGTAAAAATCATGTGGCAACATATGGCAAAGATAGTCACAATCCAAACAGAGATTGTGCCTCATGCTTCCGCTAGGTTTACTCGTGTAATATTCAGAATTTGCAGTCTTCAAACTCCTTTTTCTCTAGCCCTTTTGCATCCACTCTATATCATCCATTTTTCTTTAGCCCTTTCCCTCCAATGGATAACTAGCTCCCCCACTCCTCCTTGGTTATCTCTTTCTTATTCTTAATGCTCCTGTTCCAGTCCATCTCAGCTAGCACTGGTCCTGCCGCTGCCTAGCTATTTGCCAAGATCTGGTTGTGATATAGACACATCACACATGCGAAGTCCCTAGTCCCTAGTTCGGAAATGTGAAAAGGAGTCCAGAAGAAAGGGGACTTGCAATGGCAGTTAGCCAGTAGCAGAAGCAGCCGTATATTCCAAGTGCGCAAAATATCGCATAAATACTGCAAATTAACCTCAGATAATTGCCCCGCAGTTTTTTCCTATTTCGTGTAAATTAGCCTCGGAGCTCGCAGTAGAATAGTAGTAGAGTCTAGTGGCATGGCACTGGCAGTGGCCGCCGGCTTAGCTATAAATATGTGAAGCCAAGCTGCTGCTGCTACCACGAGTTCACGATGCAGCGAGGAGTGGCTGCATCTGCATGTAGTACAACTGAGTGCACCACCGCACCGCTACCACCACAGGCGCAACCAATGGCGGCTGAGGCGGCCATGGATGGGAAGAAGGGCAAGAGGAAGGGCGGCCTCAGAACAATGCCCTTCATCTTTGGTGAGCAAACTATACAGTCTCTTGCGAACTACTACTTCGAATTTGACTGCTTGCTTAAGATTAAACTGTGTGCGTTGGCTCGCGGCCTGCAGCCAACGAGGTGGCGGAGAAGCTTGCCGTGGTGGGCTTCTCGACGAACATGCTGACCTACCTCACCCAGCAGATGCACATGCCGCTGGCCAAGGCGGCCACCACCCTCACCAACTTCGGCGGCACCTCCGCCATGACCCCGCTCATCGGCGCCTACCTCGCCGACGCCTGCATCGGCCGCTTCTGGACCATCGCCGGCGCCTCCGTCGTCTACCAATTCGTACGTACACGTACACTTGTTCCGCACGTAGACGACGACGATGCCCATACGAAGCAGAGCTGAACTGTACGTGATGCTGGTGCTTTCTTCTTGCATGACAGGGGATGGCCCTCCTGACGGTGTCGGCGGCGCTGCCGCAGTTCCGGCCGGCACCGTGCAAGGCCGCCGAGGCGGCGGGGGGCGGCAGCGGCGCGTGCGAGCAGGCGCTGCCGTGGCAGCTCGCCGTGCTCTACGTGTCGCTGTTCCTGAACGCGGTGGGCGCCGGCGGGTACCGGCCGTGCATCGTGGCGTTCGGCGCCGACCAGTTCGACGAGTCGCAGACGGCGGAGCGCGCGCGGACGTGGGGCTTCTTCAACTGGTACTACTTCTGCAACGGCGCGTCGCAGCTGGTGGCCGTGACGGCGGTGGTGTACGTGCAGGACAACGTGGGGTGGGGCTGGGGCCTCGGCGTGCCGGCCTTCTGCATGGGCGTCTCCGTCATCGCCTTCGTCGGCGGGTACCCGATGTACCGCCGGCTCGACCCGTCGGGCAGCCCGTTCACGCGGCTCGCGCAGGTGGCCGTCGCGGCCGTCCGGAAGCGGCGCGTCCCCAAGGTGGAGGACCCCGGGAGGCTGTACGAGAACGACGAGATGGACGCGCCCATCTCCATGTACGGCAAGCTCGTGCACACACCCCAGCTCAGGTACGTGCGTGCCCTCTCGTTAGTAAAATACTGCCTCCCCCAATTACTTATCTTACATTTGCCTAGACACGTTTTTAGGACATATACTCTCTCTGTAAAGAAATATAAGAGCGCTTAGATCATTAAAGTAGTGATCTAAACGCTTTTATATTTCTTTACCGAGGGAGTACTTACTAGAGAAACCACCTCCAGCACAGTAAGCTTTATAAAGCTCAACCTTCTATCGAAAAGGAATAAAATCCGCATCATATGATCACGAGTCAGAGTATGTAATCCCCGTGAGGCCGTGAACATTACAACTTTACAAGTCAGCAACGAGGATAAGATACTTCGAGTACTAGAGGCTACCAGCGTACCAGCTATATATGTATGTAGCCAGCCAATTTAAATGGGCCAAGCTCATTTATGAACAAGAGGACGAAGGAGATTAGAAGGCGATGTCAGCAAATGAGGCCAAAAACGAGCATACTCCCCGAGCTGGAGTGCTCTAGCTAGTGCTGTGGTGAGATGTGCCGGTAGCCGCCGCTGGACTTCAGCGGCGCAGTTCCGGCTTGAGCTCTGTTCTCTAGCCCAAAATAAATCGTGCTTTCCACGTCTGTACCGAAAACCCACCATACTTTGAGCTGGATTTGGGCACCACTCAAAGATAGTTATCTTATACAGTATCTACCAAAAACAATCGCTGTATCTCTGTAGTCCTGAGTCAGCATTGCAGCTTGAAAATACATCTGGTTACGTAGCAATTTCCGCGTCCTTGTAACTAACCAAGATGAGCAGGTAACTAATTAATGACTCGTTCACCACACGCTCGACATCATCTTCCCTACTGTCATCGTCGTTTCCTTACTTTGAAAACAGACACACTTTATAGATTAGCTAGCAACAGCAACTCGTTTCCGATTAGCACACTTCTCCTTTACCTCCGGTCAACACTGCACAACGTGGAGTGCTTCAATCTAAGTCCCTCGATGACCTGTCCAAGGTTGACGGATGATAAAAGCTTCTTTGATCCCCGCTTCGTCGATGATCCACTAAGTGGTTGTTTGGATAGAGGAGATTAGCAATAGGATTATAAAAAATGCGTTTTAAGCTGATTTCTAGGAAAATCGGTTTTATCTACGTTTTTATGAATAATCAGTTTATGAAAAACTATGTTTGGTTACGTAGATAGCCCCGTGACTCGTTAATCTTTGCTCGTCACTTTCTCCAAATTGGCCGCCATTGCTTATCCATTGAAGTACACGTATATGCAGCTGCTCCCCTCGAGTTTCTCCTCTACTCTCTCCGATTCCTCCTTCGTCCTTAGTTCGCTGACATCGCTGCTCCATTCCTCTCTTTTTTCTTTTTTTTTGCGGGTGTGCTCCATTCCTCTCGGCCTTAGACGAATCAGCGCCTAGCCCCCGATTGCTGCTCCTCTCTCCTTCATTGGAGGCTTCACCAAGGGGGACGCCGTTGAAGTGCGGACAACAGCAACGACTTCCACTCAACGGCTCGCCGTGCGCAGCGGCTGCTTCCCCTCGAGACTCTGGTGTTCGCGCTCGGCGGCGACCACTTGCTCTGGACAACACGGCGCATGCGAACGGCGGCAGTGGCCGCTTCCTCGACGACTCAAGCGTTCGCACATGACGCCGGGCGCTTCCCTTCAACGATTTGGCGCGCACGAACGGCGGCGGCCGCTTCCGCTCGACTAGGCCGACGGTAGAGCGCTTGTGCTCAAAGTCAATCGGCGTGCATGCCGGCCGGCGGCTTTAAATGAACTTCAGGTGCGGTAAGGCAAAAACTGCGCTGATGAATTTCATGCGGAAGGAGAAATCAGTTGCCGTAAGTTTCTACAATCGTGTTTTCACAAAAACAGCTATTAGTCGTTTTTCACAAAACGCATGTTACTGGTTTTGTGGAAACTGAATCCTACTTATCCATGTTTTTCCTGCGGAATCCAAACAAGGTTTAAGTTTGTTACACGGTTACGTGAGTCTACCGAAAACCAGTTCTGCTAAAACACCCCCGCCCTTTTTTTTATGTTTTTGTCTCTTTTTTTTTTGAGCTTGTTGAGTTGTGCCCTCAGCAGAACCTTCCTCTTGTTTGTGAGACTTGGGTGCGTGTGAACTTGTCCTTGTATGTGTGCTCTGTGGCGGTTTGCTTTATTTATAAAGCGGGGCGAAAGCCTTTTTCGGTAATCTTTGCTTTTCCTTTCAGACCATCAGTCAGAGCTATTAAAAACAAAAATTGTGGCCGTAGCCCACGCTTTGTTCCCAAATAATCGAGTACTTCCAGTGGTGCCAAAAAGAAGGAACAGCGACTTGTTCTCGTGAACTCATGAGATGGAAAGAGTAATGCTCAAAACTAATCGAACTGTTTCTCGGCTACATCCTGCAGCTTCTTTGATCGCGCCGCCAATATCACCGACGGCGACCTGCCCAGGACGGACGCCTCTTCCAGCAAGCAACCGCTGAACCTGTGGCGGCTGAGCACGGTGCACCGCGTGGAGGAGCTCAAGTCGGTGGTGCGCATGGGCCCGATCTGGGCGGCGGGCATCCTGGTTATCACAGCATCGTCGCAGCAGCACACCTTCTCCCTGCAGCAGGCAAGTACCATGGACCGCCGCATCGCTCCGCACTCGTCCTTCAAGATCCCCGCAGGCTCCATGACCGTCTTCACCATGCTCGCCATGCTCGTCACCCTCTTCGTCTACGACCGCGCGCTCGTCCCGCTGGCCCGCCGCCGCACGGGCCTGGACCGTGGCATCTCCTTCCTCCACCGCATGGGCGTCGGGTTCACCATCTCCGTGGCGGCCTCTCTCGTCGCGGGCTTCGTCGAGCGCCACCGCAGGGAGGCCGCTGCGGCCGGGGGAACCACCGACGCTGGGACGGCCCCACTGTCCGTGTACTGGCTGGTGCCGCAGTACGCGCTTCATGGGGTGGCTGAGGCTTTCAACTCCGTGGGGCACCTGGAGTTCATGTACGACCAGGCTCCGGAGAGCATGCGCAGCACGGCAACGGCGCTCTTCTGGCTGTCCATCTCGCTGGGCAGCTATGTGAGCACACTGCTGATCACCATCGTTCACCGGTGGAGTGCCGGTCCCGACGGATCCAACTGGCTCCCGGACAACATCAACCGCGGCAAGTTGGACTACTTCTACTGGGTCGTGACGCTGCTGCAGGTCATGAACCTGGTGTACTATCTGATATGTGCTAGACAATACACGTACAAGCCCGTGCAACACCACGAGGAAGAGGAGGGGGAGGACAAGTCCATGGTGGAGCTGCAACAGAAGGTTTGAGCGAGTAACACTATGCAATGTAGTGTGATGTATATCAGTATATGCAGGTTACTGGCCTAACTAGCTAGGCAGACAGATCTGTGAAGATGGAGGTGAATGTATATGTCATTCAGGGTTTGTATGGAGATCAGGAACAGACAAATGTATCTAGTTCACTAGCAAGTTGCCAAGTTGAGTGAGTAACACTATGCAATTTAGTGCGATGTATATCAGTACATGGCTATATGCAGGCACTGGCCTAGCTAGCTAGAAGAAGGAGGTGAATGTATGTGTCATTCAAGGTTTGTATGGAGATCAGAAACAGAGAAATGTATCTAGTTCACTAGCAAGTTGAGCTAATATCAGGTTTCTACGAATGTGTAACTCTGCTCGTCATGTTCATAGCTGATAGCGGTTATTTGCTAGTGTTTGATGGCAAATTCATGTGACGAATTTGTCAATGACAGAAACAATCTCATCTTGGCACCATAGCTCTTAAATCACAACTCAGCAGTGCCATATTATTCAAGAACTATACCGAGATACCATACATAGCAACATTCTTGGACATGACCTTTAATCCTAATTGCCATCATGTGGACTGGTTGAATAAAGCCATTGTTGTGCACATTGACCACAATAGTTCTCTTATAACAGTTTGCCTAAGAAATGCAGTAGTGCAGATGCTGCAGGTCAGATATGGAATTAGGTTGGCGGTACTAACCATCGGCAGTTGACCACAAGCCGTGCAGAACCCGCTGGCTGTGGTCGATCGGACGCCGGGGTTACCGAATCAGACGGTGAGCTTGATCTCGAAGCCGAGGGAGGGGTGGATGTGGTCGGCTGGGGATGTGACGACGGCGGTGACGGCGGCGGCAGGAGGGCCGACGGGGAGGCGGCGGGTGACCATCTCGTCGACCTTGGCAGGGTCGCCGGAGAGGAGGGCCTCCACGGTGCCGTCGCGGCGGTTGTTGCGGACCCAGCCGGCGAGGCCGAGGGACTCCGCCGTCTCGGCCGTCCAGTCGCGGAAGCCCACGCCCTGGACCCGGCCCTTGACCACCACGCGGACCGCCTTGTTCGCGGGAGGTTGGTCGGGGGAAGGCGACGAGGCGGCGGAGGTGGCCATGGCGTCGGCGGGGAAGGGGCGAGGCAGCGGCAGGCGGCGATAGAGACGTGAGAGCTGAGACAACTGGGGGGCGGAGGAATCTTGTGTTCGTCGGGCCTCTAAAGTCGAAGTAGCTTTCGGCCCAAACGCTTTGGGAAAAGGGTTGCAATTTTTGACATTTGATCGGAAGCAGCTAACCAACTAAACAAGTGATGTGTCTCAAAAAAAACTAACCAAGTGATATCTCTTAGATCACCCTAAAGAACATTTTTAATGGCAAATTTTTAAAACTAAACAAATATTTTTTTTACATTGTAATTTTTCTTCAAATGTCACAAACATTTTTTGGAATGCCTGAACATTTTTAAAAAATGTCACGTACATTTTTTGGATGGTAGGAAACATTATTTTTATCACGCAAACAATTTTTGGACATGTAATAACATTTTTATTCCCATTTTTTTCATTTCCTTCTTTAATACATATATACTTTTTCAGCACACGTTGTAGCATTTTTAGTATACATGAAGCATTTATTTATACATGTTGAATATTTTTCAAATACATAATTAACAAATTTTAGAACTACATGTTTTGAATATACTGCATCTATCTTAGTTGCAAAAAAATGTCTTACATTTTGAGACAGATGAAATATTTTTAATATGTGCTGAACATTTTTCAGATACACCATTTTTTTTGGACGATACAATCATTTTTTTAAACTGCACAATCATTATTTTTACATTTGTGTGAATATTTCATAAAACTAGTATGAACATGTTTTGAAGCGCATGCATATTTTTTAACTGTAACCTACATTTTTCAATGGTTTGAAACATTTTATTTGAATTATAAGAACATTTTTTACATTGCAAAGAATTTTTTAAAACTGTCACATACTTAAGCATGTGAACATTTTTTATATGTCACAATTGTTTTAATCCAATCAACACTTTTTTATACTACGCTAACATGTTTTTTAATTCAGCATTTTATAAAAAATTTAAGTATTTTTTTGGAATACATGTTTTTTTAAATACAAATAAAATGAAAAATGAAAAAAAAGAAGAAAAACAAACTGCATGCAGGAAGCTATTTGGGCCGACCCATTTATAGCTACGAGAGGACAGTGCCTGAGACGAGACACAAGAGCCCCATATAAGCAACATATAACCGCACTCTGATTGCTCGGCCGAAGAAGTTCTTTTTATCTTGGTCTAGCCCAAAGCTATGCCCAGTAAATATATGCATTTGTTTCTTCATTCTTTGTTTTGTCGCTAAAAAAAGCGAAAATCCGTTTGTCTAGTGTCTTCTATATCTAAATAGCTAGCTTCCAGTAATCTATTTTTCTCAATATGCAAGTATGTCACCTCAGCATGGAACATGCATGAGCAAAGGTCCACCCCAACATGCAACTATGCATAAAGGAAAAAAACACATCAACATGTGAACGTGCATGATAATTTATACTCTATTAATAAAGGCAACATATTTCGTGAATCCACTACCTATCGTGTGTGTCCGTGCAATCTCAACCTCTCGCTCTAAATCCATCGCCTCGCATGCAGCAAAACGAAAATTTACACTTAGCCGCCCGCTTTCCTACTTGAG